GTCTCAATATTATTTATTTCTGCTCTGATCTTTATTATTTTTTCCTTCTACTAATTTTGGTTTTGGTTTATTCTTTTCTAGATTCTTAAGGTATATTGATAGGCTGTTTATTTGAAATCTTTCTATTTTTTGATATAGGCATTTATTGCTGTAAACTTCCCTCTTAATGCTGCTTTTGCTGTATCCTATAGATTTTGATATATTGTGTTTCCATTTTCATTTGTTTTAAGAAAATTTTATATTTCCTTCTTAATTTCTTAATTGACTTATTTTTCAGGAATATATTATTTAATTTCTATGTGTTTTTATACTTTACAACTTCCTCTTATTATTGATTTCCAGTTTTATTCCATTATGGACAGAAAAGATACTTGATATAATTTCAACTTTTTTGAATTTTTTGAGACTTGTTTTGTGGCCTACCATATGGTCCATGTGCTGATAAGAAGAATGTATATTCTGCAGCAGTTGGATAAAATGTTCTGTATATGTCTGTTAGGTCCATTTGGTCTAAAGTGTAGTTTAACTCCAGTGTTTCTTTGTTGATTTTCTGTCTAGATGATCTCTCTATTACTGAGAGTGGGGGTGTTGAAGTCCCCTATTAATATTGTATCTCTTCCTTTAGATCTGTTGTTATTTTCTTTATACGTTTGACTGCCCTGATGTTGGGTACATATATTTACAACTGTTATGTCCTCTTGCTGAATTGACCTCTTTATCATTATATAGTGACTTTGTCTCTTTTTACAATCTTAGCCTTGAAATCTTTTTTATCTGATGTAAGTATAGCTACTCCTACTCTTTTTTTCTTGGTTTCCATTTGTGTGGAATATCTTTTCCTATCCCTTCACTTTCACCTTATGTGTGTCTTTATAGGTGAAGTGTGTTTCTGGTAGACAACATATAGTTGTGCCCTATTTTTTTTATTTACCCAGCCACTCCATTTCTATTAATTGAAGAATTTAGTCTATTTACATTCATTGTTATTACTGATAACTAAGGATGTACTACTGCCATTTCGTTATAGGATTTCTGTTTTCTGTTTGTTTGTTTGTTTTTTGTTTTGAGACGGAGTCTCGCTCTGTTGCCCAGGCTGGAGTGCAGTGGTGCGATCTCAGCTCACTGCAACCTCCACCTCCTTGGTTCAAGCAATTCCCCTCCCTCAGCCTTCCCTAGTAGCTGGGATTACAGGTGCACACCACCACACCTGGCTAATTTTTTTGAATTTTTAGTAGAGACGGGGTTTCACCATGTTGGCCAGACTGGTCTCAAACCCCTCACCTCAGGCAATCCATCCACCTCAGCCTCCCAAGGTGCTAGGATTACAGGCATGAGCCACTGCGCCCAGCCTTTCTGATTCTTTTATAATGCCCCTCTTTCTTTCTTCTTTTCTTACTGTCTTCCTTAACAGTTAAGTGGTTTTTCTCTGATAGTATGTTTTTAGTTAATTGCTTTGTATTTTTTGTGTATTTATTATAGGTTTTTGCTTTGTGGTTACTATGAGGCTTACAAAAAACATCTTATAGACACAATACATTATTTTAAACAAATGACAACTTGACTTTGATCAGAAAGGAAAACAAGGAAACCAAAAAGGAAAAACTAAAAACGCTACACTTTTAAGTCCATCCCCATACATCTTGACATTCTGTTGTCTCAATTTATACCTTTTTTATATTAAGAGGTTGCTGTAATTATTATTATTTTTGATAGATTTGTCTTTTAGTCTTCATACTAGATATATGAGTGGATTATACACCACAATTATGGTGTTAGATTATTCTGAATTTGTCCGTGTACTTAGTTTTATCAGTGAGTTTTATGCCTCCAATTTTTTTTTTCATTTTAACATCATTTTCTTTCATATTGAAGAACTCTTTTTATCATTTTTAGTAAGATGGGTCTAGAGGTAATGAATTCCTTCAGCTTCTGTTTGATAAAAACTTTATCTCTCTGTCATGTTTGAAACATAGCTTTTTTGGATACGATATTCTTCATTTGCAGGGTTTTTCTTCCCCTTCAACACTTTGAATATGTTGTCCCAGTGCCTCCTGCAGGGCATGGTTTCCTGAGAGGTCAGTTGCCAGACAAATTGCAGCTTCTTTATATGTTATTTGCTTGTTTTCTTTTGTCACTTTTAGGGTCCTCTCTTTGTCACAGGCTTTTTAGAGTTTGATTATTATATGCCTTAGGGTAGTCTTATTTGGATTGAATCTGTTTGGTGATCTATGACCTTTACCTGTATATTTCTATCTTTCTCCAATAGGGAAAATTTTCTCTTATAAATTCTTTAATTAACTTTCTACCCCTTGCTCTTTCTCACCTGTCTCTTGACCACCAGTGACTCTTAGATTTGCTCTTTTGAGGTTATTCTCTATATTTTGCAGGCATTCTTTGCTCATTTTTATTCTGTTTTCTACTCTGTGTATTTTCCAATAGCCTGTCTTAGAGCTAACTGATTCTTTCCTCTACTTGACCCAGTCTGCTGTTGAGAGCCTGTAATACATTTTTCAGTTCAGCAAATTTATTTAGTCATTCCAGCATTTCTGTTTAATTTTATTATTTCAATCTGTTTCAGTTTCTCTGATAAATTTCTTAATTGTTTTTCTGTGTTGTCTTGGAAGTTGCTGACTTTCCTGGAATTGCTACTTTGAATTCTTGATCTGAGAACTCACACGTGGCTGTCTTATCAGAGTTTGTCACTGGCACTTTGCTTTGTCTATCTGGGGAGGCCATGGTTCCCTGCTTGCTGTTTCTTTTTGTGGATACGTGTCTCTGGCTTTACACTGAAGGATTGTTTATTTATTCCAGTGTTTGTTCTCTGGCTTGTTTTGGTCTTTCTAGAGTATGTTTGCTTAGAGGTCGGTTGCAGTTGCCTGTGGATCTCCTTTATCCTAGATTACTGCTTCCTGTTATTAGCACTAGATGGTGGCATAAGTCCTGGTTTGCTTCAGTTCTCAGAAACATTTGGCAGTACTGTCCCCAGTGGTGGGGAGGGGGCTGCATCTCAAAGGGGATATCCCAGCTATGTAGGAAGGCTGCCCAGTGGTTCCTCCTCAGAAGATTTATGGACTGTGCCTCCCACAATGTTGTGCTGCTGAACAGCCACTCTGAATAGGCGTCTCCTTTGGCTGAAATAAAGAGCAGAAATTCTTGGGCTGGAGTTTTTAATCCTGCTTCCCATCTTTGCCTGTAGCCTCCACTGGGGGTTTTTCTTCCTAAGGCACTTGTGATGCTTCCCATGGGCTGAGTCAGGAGTGGTTTTCCTGCAAGAAAACCCAAGATGTGGGGAAGCTGGCTTTCTGCTTTGATCTCACTTTATCCAGTGTAGAAATGGTGAGCCGAAGAGGAATTTCCTGCATGCAGTGCCAAGCAGATTTGGGGAGAGGCATTGTAGGTAGAGAAATTCATTTCTCTTACCATCTGCGTGGAGCTTTTCTCTTCTCTGTGGCTCCAGGAATTGTGTCGGCCTCAGGTTCAAGTTCTGGGATATTGCTGGTGATAATCTTGGCACTAGAAGTTTATGTTTGGTTTTCTGTGATAAAGAGTGAAGCCACATTGCTTCTACTTTTCCATTTTGGAGGTATCACCCTCTGTTGATTTTAATTTCTGACCATTTCAAAGCAAAATTATTAAATAGATAATGATAATATGACAAAGAAGGAGTGATAGCCATAAACCTTCATGCAATGAATAGTATTGCGTCAACATGTAAAACTTAAAATGCTAGAAATTAACTGAAACACAATCACCTGGGGATATTTTATTGTACTTCATTTAATTTTTAACACAAGAAATAGATGAAAAACAAGAGTCAAATAATATTGGAAGAATAACTGTGAACTAAGATACATAGCACATTTTGTAGTTTACAGATACAGAATTCACCTTCTTAATAGGTATGTTTGAAAATTTGATCTCTTGTTAGAATAAAAAAACTGGGCAGGCTTCTTTGATCATATAATATACCTTGAAAGTATTAGTAAATTTTGAACGTTAATGATGCTCAACTGTTCTTATGCTCTTGGTAACTTCAGTTGTTTTTGTTTTTTGTTTTCTCCCCTGGAAAGCATGGAATGGAAAGTACATAGTAGGTACTTGTACTGCTTATTGAAATGAACTGTTCTATTTTCATTAAACCTAGAATGAAGTAGAATTTATTATTTTAACCTCTGAAAACACTGACCAAATAAAGCCTTATATTTTTAAGTGCTACATACATTTTAAGTGCTTCGCCAGTGTGATTCACATAAATATTTCCTATGTTATAGATCACGAAAACATAAAAATAAGCTAGGCTGGTTTTGTCCGAGGTTACATTTCTTTCTTTTTTTTTTTTTTTTTTTTGAGATATAGTGTCGCTCCTGTCGCCCAGGCTGGAGTGCAGTGATGCTATCTCAGCTTACTGTAACCTCCGCCTCCTGGGTTCAAGCAGTTCTCCTGCCTCAGCCTCCTGAGTAGCTGGCATTGCAAGCGCCCACCCATGCCTGGCTAATTTTTGTATTTTTAGTAGAGACGGGGTTTCACCATGTTGGCCAGGCTGGTCTCGAACTCCTGACCTCAGGTGATCCACCCGCTTCAGCCTCCCAAATTGCTGGGATTGTAGGCGTGAGCCACCACACCTGGCCTAAGGTTACATTTCTGATAAAACTTCTGAACCATTCTGTTCTCCAGCTTGGAGACAAATAATCATCTTACTGCATTGGTGCCACCAAAGTATCCTCTTGAAAATCCTGCTCTGTGCCCTTTCAGCACTCAATTGGTTATTCAAACTAAGGTATTAAAAAACTACGTACTATTAGTCTTAGCTTTTGAAAATAATTTGTGAGTATATTTTAAAATAGATTATAACTTAATTTATGTCATTTTGATGGTTAGAATTTTTCAATTTTAGTAGTGCTTCTTAAACTTCTTCAATCTTTCTCAGTTATTATAGTTCAATTTTATATAATAAAAAGTTACTATGTGCAGGTTTAATGAAAAGTCTTTCTTTTTCCCAGGATGAATGTGGACAGTTTCCATATGATGCAAACATCCAGATACACTGGGTATCATTTCTAGATGGGCGCCAGAGAGTTTTGCTTTTCACCGATGATGTTGCCTTGGTTTCCAAAGCACTACAGGCAGAAGAAATGGAACAGGCTGATTATGAAATAAACTTGTCTCTCCACAGTCTTGGGCTTTCACTGGTTAACAATGAAAGCAAACAGGAAGTTTCATATATTGGGATAACCAGGTATGCAAGAAGGAAAATAAGACATCCTAAACCTTTAAAAGGCATTGAGTTCATAATAGCCAATTTGAGGAAAGTAAAAAGATACCTGGTTTGACTTTGGTATGCTGTATATTTATTCAGTAAAACTTACTGAATAATTCTTTGAACTGTTCGTTGAAAAGCCCCGAGGATACAAAGATGACTAAGATGCTGTCTTTGTCTTCACAATACTCGTTGTCAGTTGGTGGGGAAAAAAGTGGTTTGTTTCTTTCCTTGTTGTCCTTGTGTGTGTGTGTGTGTGTGTGTGTAATGAGTTGCAAAAATAGAAAAGGAAAGGATGTACGAAGAAGGATGTATGTGTGCAATGGAAATACAGAGGTATAAGTGACTAGTTTGTGCAGTAGAGGTTGGAGAAACTGTCAAGAGTCAGGGGAAACAGAAACAAATTGAAAAAAAGGTTCAGAGAGGAGGCAGTATTTGATATGAGTACATAATCTTTAATGGGTGGCCATTTAGAATTTTGTAATAGTTATGGGACCAGTTATTTTCTGTAGTTCTATTTAAACCTGTGTAAGAAAAATATTAGAACATTTAGTTGATTTTAAAAATCACACTTAATTTGGTAAAACGCTTATTCTTTTTTGGAGGCTGATGGGTGGAATGGTTGACGTGATACCAAATATAATCACGATAGGATCTGTCAATAAGCACATGTTTGGGGAAAGAAAAGCAAATTAAGGAGAAAATTAAATAGATAATCTATGTAATTAACTTTGCACAACACCTGACAAACTAATGATCATAAATGGTATCATACATACTATTAATATAATGTTAATATATTTATATATATATAGGCAATGCATTCTTTGTTATATATTTCAGTATTATATGATATTTTTAAACTAAACATGGTAATCATTTTTAGTTATATAGGTCCAGTTTTCTGTTTTGTTCTTTGATAAAACTTTTTACTTTAATATTGTATACGCTGTCCTAGTTTGTCAGGTTTACCTTTATAAGAACATTTAAAAATTTATCTAAAATAACTTCAGTACCTTTTTTATGACATGGTACACATTCAGTGAAATCTAGATTTCCAAAGGAAAAACATCAGTTACATAATTTTAAAAAACAGACTTTTTTTTTGAGCAGCCTTATGTCTAGAGAAAAACTGTGTAAAATAAAGAGTTTTCATATACCCACACTCTTCTTTCTCCTGTTACTAACATCTTGCAGTAGTGTGGTACATTTGTTACTATTGATGAGCTAATACTGATACTACATTATTATCTAACTTCATTATTATCTAACTTCTGTATCTAACGTTAAGTATTACTCTTTGTGTTGTACATTCTATGAGTTCTGACAAATGCATAATAAGCTGTATTCACCATTACAGTATTATATAAGATAGTTTCACTGCCCTAAAAGTCTCTCAGCTTCCTCCTGTTAATCCCTCCATTCCTCTTCTAAACCTTTGGAAACCGCTGATCTTTTTATTGTCTCCAAAGTTTTTCTTTTTTCAGAATTTCATTTGGTTGGAATCAAACAGTATGTAACATATTCAGATTAACTTCTTTCACTTGGCAGTATGCTTTTAAGGTTCCTTTGTTTCTTTTCATGGCTTGACAGCTCATTTCTTTTTATTAAATAGTCCATTGTATGAATGGACTATTACTCCAGTTTGTTTATCCATTCAACTATTGAAGGAGGTCTTGGTTGCTTCCACATTTTGGCAATTATGAATAAAGCTGTTATAAACATTCATGTGCAAGTTTTTGTGTAGACATATGTTTTTCTCCTCTTTGGAGTAAGTGCCAAGGAATGTGATTGCTGGATCATATGATAAAAGTATGTTTAGTTTTGTAAGAAATACCGAATTATCTTACAAAGTGGCTGCATCATTTTGCATTCCCCCCAGCAATAAATGAGAGTTCCTGTGGCTCCACATCCTTGCCAAAATTTGGTATTGTGTTTTGGATTTTCGCTATTTTAATAAGGATGTAGTAGTATGTCATTGCTTTACTTTGCAGTTTTCTGATGAGACATGATGTTGAGGATCTGTTCATATGTTTATTTGCCATCTATATATCTTCTTTCCTGAGCCACCCGTTCAAATCTTTTGTCCATTTTAAAATTAGGTTATTTTCTTAATGTTGAGTTTTAAGAGTTCTTTGTTTATTTTGGATACTAGTCTTCTATCAGATATATGTTTTGCAAATACTTTTTCCCAGTCTGTGGCTTATCTCTTTATTCTCTTAACTGTTTTTATTTTTTTATTTTTTATTTATTTTTTTTGAGACGGAGTCTCGCTCTGTCGCCCAGGCTGGACTGCAGTGGCCGGATCTCAGCTCACTGCAAGCTCCGCCTCCCGGGTTCACGCCATTCTCCTGCCTCAGCCTCCCGAGTAGCTGGGACTACAGGCGTCCGCCACCTTGCCCGGCTAGTTTTTTGTATTTTTTAGTAGAGACGGGGTTTCACCGTGTTAGCCACGATGGTCTCGATCTCCTGACCTCGTTATCCACCCGTCTTGGCCTCCCAAAGTGCTGGGATTACAGGCTTGAGCCACCGCGCCCGGCTCTTAACTGTTTTTAACAGCAGAAGTTTTATATTTTACATCAGACTCATCAATTATTTTCCTTCATGGATTGCACTTTTGGTGTTGTATATAAGAAGTCTTCACTATACCCAAAGTTACCTAGATTTCCTCCTATTATCTTCTAGGAGTTTTATAATTTTGTGTTTTATATTTATTTATTTTTATGTATGTATGTATTTATTTATTTTTGAGACAGAGTATCACTCTGTTGCCCAGGCTGGAATGCAGTGTTGTAATCACCGCTCACTGCAACCTCTGCCAGCTAGGCTCAAGCAATCCTCCCACCTCAGCCTTCTGAGTAGCTGGGACTAGAGGCACGTGCCACCATGCCAGGCTGATATTTTTTATTTCTTTGTGGAGATGGAATTTCGCCATGTTGTCTAGGCTGATCTCAAACTTATATTTAAGTCTAATCCAGTTTGAGTTATTTTTTGTGAAAGATGAAAGCTCTGTGTCTAGATTTGCTTTATTGCATGTGGCTGTCTGGGTGTTCCAACATAATTTGTTGAAAGACTTTGGTAGTTTCCTCATTTAGATCACATACACTTTGTATTAGATTGTGTTTATACATAGTTTGTTTCTTTGGTGCTAATGTAAATGGTATTCTGTTTTTATTTTAAATTTTAATTGTTTATTGCTGGCATGTAAGAAAGCAGTTGACTTGTATATTAACCTTATATTTTTGCAATGTTGTTATAATTTCTTATTAGTTACCAGAGTTTTTGGGTTGATTCTTTGGGATTTTCTGTTTAGACAGTCATGTCAAATGTGAACATAGGCACTTGATTTCTTCACTCCCAAATTTACTTTCTTGTCTTACCACTTCTTGGACTTCAGTACTATGTTGAGGTGGGAATAATTGAGAGTGGACATACTTGCCTTGTTCCTAATCTTGGTGGGAAAGCATCTGGTTTCTCCCTATGATGTTAGCTATAAGTTTTTTGTAGGTGCTCTTTATCAAGTTGAGGAAGTTCCCCTTTAAGTTGTCTCAGAGTTTTTATCGTGAATAATGTTGGATTTATAGTGTCTATAGTAGATATTTTATTCAGTGCCTTCACTGACTGGTATCCTCTAAATACATTTTATAGTTAGAACATTGTTAACACTACCATTGACTAGTATAAACAAGCTATGTAAAGTAAAATATTATAGATTTTAGTATTCTCTAATTCACGTGTCAGCAAAGTTTGGCCTGTGAACCAAATCTAGTCCAGTGCCTGTTTTTGTACAGCTTTTGACTTAAGAATAATTTGTTTTACATTTGTAAATGGTTGAAAAAAATTAAAAGAAAGTAACATGAAAATTGTGCAATTCAGTTTATTTCCCATAAATAATGTTTTGTTGGGACACAGTGATTTCTGTTCTTTACATGGCTGCTTTGACATTGCTACTCAGTGCATTACAGATCACAGCGTGTTTGAGTTCATGCATATTGTTCTGCAGCATTTTTTTTATTACTGATATATATCCATCATATCAAAACAAGAGAAAAGTGGACTTTGAATGTTATTCTTTTGTAATGAAATGTGGATTATCTTCTTATTTAAAAAAGCATTATTTTACTATGTTATGAAACTACAGCTGTGCTGAAATAATACAACATATGTTGACAATATAGTTTCCAAACTAAGCACTTACCATAACATTTCCAAATCACAGGAAAGCAATGGCCAGAAAAATTAGAAAATTTAAGGCAAAATATATCATCACACAGAATATCTTCACAAATATAAAAAACAATAATGAGGCTGCAAGCAAAGTAAGTTTCTGAATGACTTATTTGTTAGCCAAGCCAGGAAAGTTTTTTAAGTCTTTTACCAATGGTGAGTTAATTGAATTATGTCTGATTGCAGCAGCTAAAGAAATGTATCGGAGAAAATGAGCTTGTTTAAGGCCATTAGCCTTTCAGTAGGAACAGTTGCTTAAAGAATTGAAGACATTGCGAACAACATCAATAGTCAATTTAAAAAACAAGGCAAATGATATTGAGTGGTTTCCCTTGGCTCTTGATGAGTCAACAGATGTTACCAATACTGTTCAGTTGTATATTTGAGAAGTCAGCACTGAGTTTGAAGTGACTAAAGTATTAACCTCTATAAATAGTTTGCCTAGGACAACTATAGGTGAGAATATTTTCAAACAAGCTGATGAAATACTAATTCAATATAACCTGAAGATAGATACAACTGATTATGGGAAAAATATGTGTGGAACAGAAAAAGACTTAGTTGGACAAATTCATAAAGCTGGTGAAAAGATAAAGCATTTAAAGCCTATTGTATTATTTGTGAGCAGGTACTTAGTAGAAAATATTTCAGTCCACCTTTTGTTATCAAACCACTAGTGTCAAATAGTAAACTTCATTAAGTCTTGTGGACTAAACTATCATCAGTTCTGTGAATTTTTGCCAGAACTAGAATCTGAATGTTCTGACTTGTGTTACCACATAGCAGTTTGATGGGTTAGCAGCAGTAACTTTTTATTGTACTCTTTGAATTCTGGGCCAGCATTAAAATGTTTTTGAACAAAAAGAACCACCCTCAACCACTATTATTAAACACCAATAATAGTGGCTTTGGAAATTAGTTTTTGTTGCATAATTGCAGAACTGATGATTTTTTAAATGAATTTCAAGCTAAAATTGGAAGACAGTGCTTATATGAAAAATTTATACTACAGTATAGTCAATTTTGAAGACCACTAATGTTTGAATCTCAAGTAATATCAGGATATTCCATGTACTTCCTGTGCTGTCCAAAGTTAAAACATGAAGCAAAATCTCCACTTCCACATATATTTGGAGAGGATATATTTTATGGCCGGCAACTCCAGTTCCAGCAACATTTTTTCTGACCTCAATGCAGGTGTAAGGAAATTTCCTCATTTCACAATTCGTTTCTGCAATTGAGGAGCTTCTACCTAACTTTGAATTGGAAGTGATTGACCTGTAATGTATTAATATACTAAAAGGCAAATATCAAGAGAATAATTTAATAGAATTTTATAAATGCCTTCCAAGTGATATATATGCTCTAGTAAAATAATAAATTCTCATTGATCAATGTCAGTATTTGGCAGCACCTATCTGTGTGAAATGGTATTTTTAAAGATGCTCATTACAGATTACCATTAATAGATGAACATTTGCGATAGATTTTGGTAATAAATAACACTAAGTGACATGTTACTTTCACAAAAGAAGTTTATTTTTTCATTAATAGACTTGTTTTTAAGAATTGCTCTTATTTTATATTCTAAATTTCATCAATTAAAAATTTATTTAAATCAATTAAATATCTCTCTTTTGTATCTAAGTTGCCTATCTAATAACTTGAATTTTGTCTCAGTCCAGAAAACCTAAAATATTGGCTATTTAATATATGGCCCTCTGCAGAAAAAGTTTGCCAGTCCCTTAATTGATTGATGTCAACATTGATAGAAAAAGTTATTTTCTTGCCTGCCTCTTTTATTTTTGTACTCTTACAACACAGGTATAGTTCGTTACTTTAAGAAGTTTCTTATACTAATGTAATTTTCATAGGAAAATAATAGTTACAATAATCTGGAGTTGCATGAAGTTCCACAGATCTAAATACATATTGCTAATTTAATTTTTTTGTGTGAATTACTCAGTTCTGGTGTTGTTTGGGAGATGAAACCAAAACGGAAATGGAAGCCATTTAGTCAAAAGCAGATAATCTTACTGGAACAATCCTATCAGAAACATCAAATATCAAGAGACCATGGCTGGATTAAGCTAGATAATAATTTTGAGGTATACCAAAATTCTTTTTTTTTTTTATTTTTATATGTGTGTTTTCCTGGTGGTGGTAGTAACTAAAATTGTAATGCCCAAGTAAAGACGTGTACAAAAATGAACTTATTAGTAGATAAACTTTTATTTCTTAATAGGATTGGCATGACTGATACACATAAGTATATTTTTAATTAAAACAGATTGTTATTTAATCATATACTATGAAACAGGATTTAAATCGGTGTTTTAATAATTTTATTGCATTTTTATATTTTTATAATTCTATTAACAAATCAGATAGTCTTAAGGAACTTATTTTCAGAAAGATTAGGGAGAAGTTAAGATTGCTTCATTGAAATTTTTTTTAATATTTTGAATGACACTAATACATATTGCTAAATAAAGACTGTGTAAAATTACATATTTCATTCAGGAAAAACCTACAAAAACCTGCTCAAGTAAATTCAATAAATGTGAGTGATTGTTGGACATGAGTAGGCATTCACAAATAAAGATGCACTCCACCTGGGCCCTTACACAGTTAAAACTAAAAGTCACCTATGCTCCAGGAAGTCTGAAGAAGCTTGACTGCAATTTCCAGCTTGCTCTAGTTTAATCATGCAGTTTGGTTACTCTTTGTCTTTGTTGTCTGATGGTTTGGGTAGCACTGTCACCAGTTACATTCCCCACCACCCCCATCAATTTTGGCCATACTTAAATGATTAAAAAAAAACTATATAATTAGTGTCAGACATGACTAAGCTATCAATTATTGATTGCAAAACAATTATCTTGGGGCCAGGCACAGTGGCTCACACCTGTAATCCCAGTACTTTAGGAGGCTGAGGCAGGAGGATCACTTGAGGCCAGGAGTTTGAGACTTGCCTGGGCAACATAGTGAGACCTTGTCTCTAAACAAAAAAGATAATAAAAATTAAAATTAGCTGGGCATGGTGTCACATCTGTAGTCTCAGCTGCTTGGGAGACTGAGGCGGGAGGATCACTTGAGGCCAGGAGGTTGAGGCTGCAGTGAGCTGTGATTTTGCCACTGCACTTGTGACAGCAAGACCCCGTTTCAAGGAAAAAAAAAAAAAGAATTATCTGGAACTATTCATTATTTGAAGAAGTTTTCTTTTACATAAAGCATGTTTTTTAAACTATAGTTTCTATACTTGAAAAGTTTCACAATTGTTGTCTTGTTTTTCTAATAACTTTGGTAGAAAAGTGGTGCTTTTGCTTCAGAGACCTCAACTGTAGATCACCTTAAGATAGATCTGTTGGTGAGACACAAAGATAAAGATTTTTTCAATTTGATCAATAAACAGATATTTAAAATGGAATAGCTACTGTGCTAATATCAGCTCATCACAAAACCATGTGCTTTTTTTCCAGGTCAATTTTGATAAAGATCCAATGGAAATGCGCCTCCCTATTCGTTGCCCTATTAAACGAGACTTTTTATCAGGAATTCAGATTGAATTTAAGCAGTCTTCTCACCAGAGAAGTTTAAGGGCCAGGTTGTACTGGCTTCAGGTAACGTTGTCATCCTCAAATAAGTGTTTATCATCACTTTGGAAATCTTGGGAATGAAATTTTTTTTTTACAACTTTATAGTTTACATTGTTGTAATTGGTATCTTTTCTTTGTATGTTTTTTCCCCTTCTTCCACATATCCTGTTTATTCAACATCTTACTTATACACTTCGTGACTGTTAAGACTAATTTTGAGCAGTTAGCCTGCAAAAGGGTTTTCTTGCACTGGGATTGTTATTTTTAAATGTTCCTTTGAATTTGTCATGGGACCCCCATATAAGATTTTCCTTTGTCATTCTTCAGGGCAGAGAGCAGAGCTTTGCTGGAGGTTCCTTTTGGATGCTTGCTTGCTCCCTCCCAGCATCCCTCCCTTCCTTCCTTCCTTTTAGCTGTTAAGTACTGTTTAGCCTACTTTAATTCTTTTTCTTTTTACCTTATTCCTTAATTTCATATTCAGTTTCCACTTATGTTTTATTTACACCATAGAGAATTGAAATCTTGCGGGATCCATAGATACAAGTATTTTCATTAATGATGTACATATTGCACACTGTTAATACAATCATGAGAGTATTTATATAGTCCTTTATTTAAAGCCTTACCCTTGCTGAAGTATATAACTTTTACAGGTTTAAAATGAAACTTCTAATTACACCACATATACACGCAGACAATTATGATGAAGGTAGTGGCCTCTTCTATAACGTTATCTTTGAAACTAAAAGTTTAAATTATTTGAAATCTTGGTAAGTTGGTTTTCTTTTCTTTCAGGTTGATAATCAGTTGCCAGGTGCGATGTTCCCTGTTGTATTTCATCCTGTTGCCCCTCCAAAATCTATTGCTTTAGATTCAGGTAAAAAGAAATAAGTTATGACATAGATATAACTTATTTGTAAAAGTTAAATAGGCATCAGTTTGACCTAGTATAAAGCATTATTTTTTTTTCATGTGTTACTTCTTCCTCTTAGAGCCCAAGCCTTTCATTGATGTGAGTGTCATCACAAGATTTAATGAGTACAGTAAAGTCTTACAGTTCAAGTAAGTAAAGATTCCTGCTGTTGCTCTAAAGGAATTTAAAATGAGAATCTACTTTGAAAATAAATCTCACTCTTTTTGAAAGTGACTTTCATGTAAAAAGTATTTTCCAACTGAACCTGTTAATTCACTTTTGGTCAAGTAATCTTTTATGCTTCAACTTATTTTAGTAGTAGTCGCTACATATTTTAAAGTGTAGAATTTCTTCAAGTATCTTCTTCCCTTTATAACTCCAATTAGAATATAAAATAGTAAGTGAAATCTAAATGATACGTATTTGTGAGCTGTGTTCTTTAATCACTGTGAACTTTAAAAATTGGATCATACATGCTACATGATCTAGTTGTATTTGTTTCATCTGTGACATGACGAATGTAGCATTTGGGACTGTAAGTGCTAAGTGTTAATGCAGCAATATTACCCTGAGTGAAGCTTTCACTCCAGTGAGAAGGTCTCAATCTAAGAAGACCTTGATCTTATTAACATAAGTTTTAGGAGATGAAGGAACAAGATATAACTGTGACTTTTTACTAAAATCAAAGTTTTAACATCGAAAATTAAAAGATTTGGTAGAAATCCTTTTCCATCTTAAATTTTTTTTCCTTAGGTATTTTATGGTCCTCATTCAGGAAATGGCCTTAAAAATTGATCAGGGGTTTCTAGGAGCTGTTATTGTACTGTTTACCCCAACAACAGACCCTGAAGCTGAAAGAAAACGGGTAAAAATTTTCATTTCTTGGGAAAAATATAAAATTAAAAAAATTTAAATCAGCCTTTTTTGAACTAACTATAATAGAGAAAATAATTAAAATAGAAATTCTTGATTTTATTTTTTTCAGACAAAGTTAATCCAACCAGATATTGATGCTCTAAATGCAGAATTAATGGAGACTTCAATGACTGATATGTCAATTCTTAGTTTCTTTGAACATTTCCATATTTCTCCTGTGAAGGTTTGTTGTAATTATTAATTTGAAAATTTAGTGAAATTATTGTAGAACTTTTTAAAGGGTCTGTGGACCAACGTAGGTTTTAATTTGTTGCATCATGTATTTGGTGGGAATTTTATTTGATTAATCAAAATAATTAAGACAATTCTCTGTAACACATGTACAGCCATAATTCCCACAGAGAAACCACCAGAGCATGTTTCCAGTCTTGAATTAATAACCCCTTTATTCAAAGAAGAAGCTGACAAAAGCATTTCTTAATTAAGCGTAGAAGTGCTTGCCAACATTTAATGTTTTGGTTGCACTTTGTAACTACTATCACTGTCTAAACAGAGAGCTATAATGGGTGCCGTAACCAGAATGCGAAAACGCTGAAGTAGGTACTATACTGTTGATGTGGTGTTTTCCCCCCTTCCAAAATTTGATTGTAACTAAGGGAGTGGAAAATTGGATACCTTTCATTTGCCTGATTTTGTACTTTATGAACTCATTTCTCTTTTCCCTTTTGTTGTTCTTTTTAGCTTTTATAGGAGAAGGTGACTGCTTAGTAAATTCACAAATGCTATCAACCATAATGCTCTAAACTTGTGTAATGGGCCAGATTTATAATTAAGTAACTCTTTAAAATATTGATGATCCTTTACATTCTCAAAAACTGTTTACAGCACATTACTTTCAATTGCATTTACCAGTTCTTCAGCTAAATGAATGGACTTCTAAAATGAAATTATTATTTTAAATTGGTATATCAGTTTGGTGATACCAGACATTGATAGTGTCAGGTTTAAAATTTATAATGTTTTATGTGATAGGTAATATACCATTTCTTTTTCACTTTTAAGTGAAAATCAGTTATTTGTGGGATTGAACCACACCTTAAACAAATATTTACTGAATGCTTATTATGAAAGTTGCTGTGGAGGTATAAAATAGCTTCATGGATATTGTATTCTAGAGGGATATTAATGATTGATAATTTACCTATTTGTGTTCTTAGGCACAGTGGCAATTGAGCCATGAAGTCTAATGGTAAAGATTATGAACAACAATTATTTTCATAGCCCATAGTAATGATGCCCTAGGGAAAGGCTGGATCAGTGTTTACCTGTGGTTACCTTTCCTGGATCCCAACACTCCCAGACTCTTCATGTGGGCAGAAGGTCACATGAAAGAAAAAAACAACCGCAGGCTTTCCTGGCCTTGCCCCAAGTCCACTTTACTTGAGCTCTATATTAGTTAGTTAATATGGCTAGGAAATGACAAAATGAGAAAGGAAATTCATCTACTTTACACATGTTGAATTACCTTTTGCCTGTATCTTCTTGCACTGTTACACTAATGGTTCAGTACGAAGTAGCAGCTAAATGAGGATCTGAAATCTCATGTTTAAATACTTAGTTGGAGGGTCTGTGGAAACTGAAAACCTTATTATACTTTTAAAAACTTAACAACTTGCTAACTTACCTTAATTGTCATGTTATCGTTATTATCTATTATTTTGACTGGCAGATTACTTGTGTGCCAGTTGACATGTTTTTCTTCTTAAAATGATTATGACATTTTTGTAAAGTGCGTTGGTCTCCTTCATATGAATACAATGGCATTTATATACATTGCAAAAATTAGAACTCTATTTTTGGATCAGACTAATTTGTATTTTTTCAAAAAGCAAAGAGAATCAAGTGTAAGTGGGTTGTTCTGCTGTAATGTATAGTATCAAATAATAGCTTTCACTAGGACTCTAATCGAAAAATTTTTTTTGGTTTGTTTCTGGACTACCTGGATCCTAAATATGTAAAATTTTCACTTTTAGCTTTCATTTATTGAACATTATTTTTCTTTTAGTTGCATTTGAGTTTGTCTTTGGGTTCCGGAGGTGAAGGATCAGACAAAGAAAAACAGGAAATGTTTGCAGTTCAGTCTGTCAACTTGCTGTTGAAAAGCATAGGTGCTACTCTGACTGATGTGGATGACCTTATATTCAAGTAAGACTTCTGTTAGAGTACATTGGAAAGCAGGTGTACCAAGGTCATGTTTCTGGAGATTAATTCTCTCCACTTGTGCAATGTTAGCTTAGGAAAAGGATAACTTTACTACTTAACAGTTGGAGAATTTGGTCCATTTGTGATTATACTCTTTAGGAATGCTTATTGTATTCATAATGATAAGGTGAAGAGTCTTGTTTTCTTTGATTACTCATGTCTAGATAATACGTGGATATAGAATAATAATTGAATTTTTAAGTGTTATATTGTAAATTGACCATTTTTAAAGCATGTTATATTCAGAGATATGTAATGCTAGATATGTATACATTAAATAAATTGTTATTGAATTGCAATTCAACAATGGCATTGGAACAAGTAATTATCTGGGTGAAAAAAAAAATCCCTGTAGATCATTTTTACCTTACATGTACACTACTAAATTTCAGAGAAAACGAATGATAAAACATAAAACCTAAACTGAAAAGACAAAAAAAAAAAAAGACAAAAAAAAAAAGACATCTCTGAATAGAGGATGCCTTTCTAAGTTTAAAAGCAGTGGAAAATATTTCAATAGAAAATAAAAGGTATATTTAACCACATAAAAATCAAGTACTTTTCAACAAAATCCATGAAAATAATTAAAAACAAAAGACTGGGAAAATATAATGACAGAGAAAGGACTATTATCTTAATATTAAACATTGATAAGAAAAACCTAGATTCTAATGGTATAGTGGCCAGAGAACAATAGGAGATAATTAAGGAATGATGATGTTATTATTTATCAAATAATACATGCAAATTAAAGCAACTTATCAAAGATTTTAAAATATGAGCGATTCTATTTTAAAATCCTATTTAATACTAGTTGGGGTGGTTCTACGAAATAGGCACTTTTTAAATACTGTTGGTGTAAGTGGAAAACTACATTTGTTAGGAGCCTTAAATGTTTTGTTGCTTTTCACTCAGTAATTCTCTTTTTGGAAATTCTTTCCAAAAAGTAATCTAATCTTGAAGTTCAACCAAATAGTTATATTCAACATACACATGGCATCATTAATTATTTTACCAAAAATTGGAAATGTCTGACAGTGGAAGAATTGCTTGTTATGACACTGCCACATGGTAACATGATATGTTTCTGTTTAAAATGTTTATATGTAGAGTTTTAAATAATATAGAGAAATACTTCTCCACAATTTTGAGTGTAAACAGGGCATACAAAATGTTTTAAACATTTTATCTTTGCATATGAAAGAAAAGAAAGAATTCAAAGTGGGAAATAAGAAAATAAACCTTTAAAATCCACTATGCGGTGGGACGATGGTTGACTTTTAAAGAATCTCCTCATTCTTTATGCATATATGAAAAACTTGTGCACTGTTTTTATAATAATTTAGTAACCATTATTAAGACAATCATAAATTGTTATGTGGTAAATATACAAAGTCGATTGTGAAAGAATAGGCTATGATTAGCATTAGCTGTCATTCAAATTTTAAGTCCCTTTTTTTTTATATAAGTATCTTTGAATCTTTCCTTTTTCTCCTCCCAGGCTTGCTTATTATGAAATTCAATACCAATTTTACAAGAGAGATCAGCTTATGTGGAGTGTTGTTAGGCATTACAGTGAACAGGTAATTTCCTATCACAGTATTTCATAAGGAATATACTTCATAAAATATCAAAACATTTTCATGTGACTGTATAGTATGCAGTAATGTTTATATAATTTACCTCAGTTTGAAATCTCCTTATTTAGTGGTTTTCTTCAATGATTAATTTCTATTTCTTTAGTTCTACCCCTCTTTATACACCTTTTGAAAATTTTCCTCCAGTTCCTTTTTTGACTTTGCAATTATACTTTTACCACTTTGGGAAAGAATAGTGACTTTATAGTCATTACACTTGATTTCTTCAGTGATTACAGTTTCTGAATATAATCTAGTGAATTGCAAGCAGAATTCTAAGCCCGCTTCCTCCCTGTGCCTCAGTTACTCTGTGGTTCAAGTATGTATGCACAGAGACAGTCAGTAGTTGTTGCAGGTCACTTTGGTACAATTGCTATACCATGGAACTGCAGGGTGACATTTCCTTTCCTTCCACTGCTGGAATGTTCTTTCTCCTATGACATATACAGACATTATGAAAGTTACGTGTTAAAATTAGGATATGTTTTCCCTTATTTTTTGTTTTGGTTATTGATTATTTTCCATCTAATTTATTAATAATAATGATGGTAAAGTAATAATAAAAACAACTAACAATTACTGAATTATGTATTCATTTAATATGCATACTCACCCATGCAAGGACAGTGTAACTTCCCTTCTTAAAAATTTTTAAGTTTTTATAGAGACATGGTATCACTGTGTTGCCCAGGCTGGTCATTAACTCCTGGCCTCAAGTGATCCTCTCATCTCAGCCTTCCAAAGTGTTGGGATTACAGGCATCAGCCATCACACCCAGCCTACCCTTCCATTTTATAGATTAGAAGACAGGCTGTTAGATACTAAATAACTTGTAGAAGGTCACATAACTGCTACGTGGCAGCCTGTGTGTCAAACCAGTTCTGTTTAATTTAAAAGCTCTTTGTAAAGTATTAGCATAGTGCCTGGCACAGAGTAAAAGATCAATTAGTGGATGTGGTGGTGGTTATTCCCTACAGCTTTCTTTTAACACAAACTTAATTTTATCAGTAAATCTCTTTTTTTTTCTATTTTATTATGATGTTTCTTAAAACAGTTATGAAGGACTTAATTTAATTTTTTTTTCTTTTTTAGTTCTTGAAACAGATGTATGTCCTTGTATTGGGGTTAGATGTACTTGGAAACCCATTTGGATTAATTAGAGGTCTGTCTGAAGGAGTTGAAGCTTTATTCTATGAACCCTTCCAGGTATTGACCTTTTACTTATTTTAAGGATAGGTATAGAAAAATGGATGTTCTCTTTTTTAATAACAAATAGTAATTTGCATTGTAATTGTATCTGGGAATTGAATAATGTTCAAATCACAAAAGTATATCAATTTAATATTTTTATTTAAAGGTACATGAGATAGCACTGGATGATTGTTTAGAATTTAATGAGCACTGCCCACATTTGCCAGGATTTAATGTAGTTTGTAAGAATATGTAGAATGCTGGGTAGATTAAGACTTTCAAGACTGTTCCACCATTGCGGAAGGGACTAATAGGGAACTGAAAGCAAAGTTTGTTTCATATTCCAGCTTTCATCCTACCTATTCCCCTCCATTTAAAGGGTCTAGCAGCCAGCCCAGTGTATGAGGGTTTTAGAAGAATAAAGCAGAGAAAATAAATGGGAGAATAAGACAGTAAAAAAAATCTGTGGACTCTCCTACTCTTGTTATCATTGCAGCTTGTTTCAGCAATCTGATGAAACTTAGTTCTGGGAGGCCAACTTCAAATTGCAATTGAAGCCAGTGATTTATACCTATCCAATTTTTGACTTAAAGAATTTGCTAAGATCATGTAGGTTGAAATACAATAGATATTCTATCCATATTTGGGGTAGAGGTGAAAATTGATTCATCACAGTGTTTATAGATTTTTACAGATTTGGATTCTTCAGGCAAACCCTGAACTATTAAATTAAAAGTCTTCAACTTATTTAAATTTTAAATAATAAAATTTTTTGGAATTTTTTTTTCTTTTTTTTTGCCAGGGTGCTGTTCAAGGCCCTGAAGAATTTGCAGAGGGGTTAGTGATTGGAGTGAGAAGTCTCTTTGGACACACAGTAGGTATGTATCACATATTTGTGTATATGTATATATTTTTTATTATATTGTTATAAAATATGTTGTTGTGAAAAACAAATGCTTTTATTTAATAAAGGAGGGATCACTTTCTTAATAATCCCTTTAAAAGACATGTTTCCTTGTTTTTAAATGGAAAATAAGTTAACAGTGGACTGCTGGTTTTTTAATGTCTTTGTAGTGTTGAATAAATGTACTTTAATTTTATTCCTTTTCTTGTTAGATGGGAAAAGTTAATTTCTGCATTTTTTGTATGAGACAAAATTTTAAGCACCTATTAGTTTAAACCAATTGCATGCTGTATATTATGATAATGCTGTTTATATAAACAATGTAACTTCTCTGAGCCTTAAAATTTATTTTATTTTATTTTTAATTGACACATGATTGTATATATTTATGGGGTATAGAGTGATATTTTGATACATGTATACACTAGGTAGTGATCAAATCTGGCAATTAGCATATTTATCACCTTGAACAGTTACCATTTCTTTGTGTTGGGAACATTCAAACCCTCTCTTCTAGCTATTTGAAGACATACAATAAGTTGTTGTTAACTGTAGTCACCCTACAGTGCTATAGCACATTAGAACTTATTCTCCTATCTGGTTGTAATGTTGTGTCCATTAACCAATCTTTCCCTATCCTCTTCTCCCCCTACCCATCTCGGCCTTTAATAACCACAGTTCTACTTTCTAATTCTATGAGTTCAACTTCTTTAGCTCTCAGATGTAAATGAGAACATGCAGTATTTGTTTTTCTGTGCCAGACTTATTTCACTTAACATAATATCCTCCAGGCTCATCCAAGTTGCTGTGAATGAAAGGATTTCATTTTTTTTAAATGCCTAGGTAGTAGTCCATTGTGTGTGTGTGTGTGTGTGTGTGTGTGTGTGTCACATTTTCTTTAGCCATTCATCCATTGATAGACACTTAGATTGGTTGTATATCTCAGCTATTGTGACTAGTGCTGCAGTAAACATGGGAGTGCAGACATCTCTTGATATACTGATTTCTTTTCTTTTGGATATATACCCAGTAGTTGGATTGCTGGATCATGTGGTAGTTCTAGTTTTCATTTTTTGAGGAGCCTCCATACTGTTTTCCATTAATAGCTGTATTAAGTTATATTCCCACTCTCAGGGTATAAGCATTCCCTTTTCTTCACTTCTTTGACAGCGTTTGAGATTTTTTTTTTTTTTGTCTTTTTTCTAATAACCATTCTAACTGGGGTGAGATAATATCTTACTGTGGTTTTGATTTGCACTTTCCCGATGATTTTTGATCTTGAATATTTTTTCATATACTTGTTGGCCATTTGTATGTCTCCTTTTGAGAAATATTTATTCAGATTGTTTGCCTATTTTAAAATAAGATTATTTGTTTTCTTGCTGTTGTTTGAGTTCCTTGTATATTCTAGATATTAATCCCTTGTCTTTGATAGGTGGTGCAGCAGGAGTTGTATCTCGAATCACTGGTTCTGTTGGGAAAGGTTTGGCAGCAATTACAATGGACAAGGAATATCAGCAAAAAAGAAGAGAAGAGTTGAGTCGACAGCCCAAAGATTTTGGAGATAGCCTGGCCAGAGGAGGAAAGGGCTTTCTGCGAGTAAGTTCTCTGCTGAATCTAAGAAATCTGCAACTAAAAAAAAAAATTTTTTTTCTAGCTGGTTGTGTGAAACTTAGAATGCTACTTATGAGTTTAGGCCTGTCAGAATAGAAATAATGATAAATTATGGACTTTCCAGTTTCCTTTTTGCTCCCCTTCCCCATTGTCACCACCAGATCTATCCCCTGAATTGCCAGATTTCGTAAAACTGTAATGATGATAAGTTAGCACTGGTGTAGAAGGTGAGGAAGTGAGAAGCAGAGATACATGGTACCGATGGAAACTAGAGAGAGAAGGAGCTCTTCAGGTCATCAGCGATTGACTGTTTCTGTGGAAGGGATGTGTGAAAGTTAATTGTTGATAAACCAGGAACTGCCTTTCATTACTTTTTAATACGTTTAAAATTGTACTGCTTAATTATATAGGTGATGTATGAATATTCTTGTAAATAATTATAAGAACTTAAAAGTTATTCTGTTGATAAGTAAATAAAACATTATGAGTAAGGCTAGAATACTCTTTAATCACCTCTCATCTGTTTCCAATTTAAGTGTGTATCCATCAGTTCCCTTTCTGTGTGTTTATAGAATATACAGGTAGTTTTACTACCATTACTTCACAATGATTAAGAATGTATTAGAATATTCATGTTTTAATTTTGGAAATGATTTCAGGAAACTGCTGTGTTTTTTGATAGTAATTTGTAATGTTGGGTGTTATAGTCACTAAGGCACTTTGTTTGCCAGGTTATTAGCTATCCTTGGGAGGGCCCTTTATTTTCAGTTTTCTACACTTCCACTGAGTTACAATGTAATCTCCTTAAAATTTATAATTAGATCATAAATATTATTTGGCTCGGCTCACTCATTTTGCTGATGTGGAAACTGAGACTTAAAGAGATTTCATCAACTGCCCGTGGTTACATAGCTGATTGGGATCATAGCCAGATTCAAAATCCTTTTATCTGCTTTACTCATATTTCTTTTATAAAATTTTATTCCTGCTAGGAATAAATCATTTAAGATTTGCTGTGATATATTATTTGAAAAATCATAGTGCTAACTTACATGTGTATGTTGTTTACATTATCAAGTTAAGTCTTCAATTTTTGTTGTTGTTGTTATTTCCAGTATGTCTGTAGAGACCTCTAGTGGTTGGTTTAAAATTAAACACCTTCCATTCAGTCTAGACTATATGATTGATTTCTCTTTCAGGGAGTTGTTGGTGGAGTGACTGGAATAATAACAAAACCTGTGGAAGGTACGTTGAAAGTATTTCCTTCCTTTACAAAGTCTGAAGACTTGATAACTTAGTAAACATAATAGATGTTATTGCTGCTGATACTTGATTGAGAAAATTACTGACTGAATTTTATATTCGTAGCCTTAAGTTGCTCAATGAACGTATTTTCCTCAGAAAGTAGAGAGGTTAAGTAGTGGATCATGCTTTAGACTTTGAATGATATTTTTAGCAGGGCCAGAGATAAACTAGATTTGTTTGGGCCCTCAGTAGCAATTTACTGATTTTTGCTATTGCTGTTTTTATCCCATTTAAAAAGCACATTGCTTATTCAGTGCAATCCCTATCAAAATCCCAGTTTGTTTCTTTGCAGAAATTGACAAGCCAAGTCCAAAATTTATATGGCAATTCCGAGGATCCAAAATAGCCAAAAAAGTCTTGAAAAAGAACAAGGTTGGAGAACTTCTACTTCCCAAATTCAAAACTTACTGTAAAGCTACAGTAACTGAGACAGTGTAGTACTAACATAAGGATAGACATATAGAACAGTGGGATACAATCGAAGATCCAGAAATAGACTCTTACTTATGGTTAACTGATCTTCGACAAGGAAGTCAAGATAATTCAATAGGAAAGAACCGTCTTCAACAGATTTGCTGGGACAACTTCATATCTATGAGCAAAAGAACAAAATTGGACCCCTACCTGTACCATATATAAAAAATGAGTTCACAATGGATTAAATACCTAAATGTAAGAGTAAAACTGTTAAACTCAGAGGAAAATATAGGAGTAAATCTTCATGACTTTGGATTAGGCCAAACTTTGCTAGAAAAGATGCGTAAATTGGACTTCATCAAATACATAAATTGAACTTCATCCACATTTAAAATGTTTGTGCTTCAAAGGACAACCATGAAGAAAGGGAAAAGACAGCCCACGGAATGGAAGAAAATTTTTGCAAGTCATATACGTGATAAAAGACATATCTAGAACATATAGAGAACTATTAAAAATCAATAATAAAAAGACAACACAATTTTAAATGAGCAAAATATATGAATAGACATTTCTCCAGAGAAGATATACAGATGGCCAATAAACACATAAAAGGACGTTAAACATCGTTAGTCAATAGGGAAATGCGAGTCAAAACTATAATGAGATACCATTTCACACCTACTGAAATGGCTAGAATCAAGTGTTAAGAGGATGCGGAGAAATTGGAACCCTCATACACTACCAGTGGGACTGTAAAATAATGCAGTCATTTTGGAGGAAAATAGTCTGTCAGTGCTTCAAAAAGTTAAACACAGAGTCACCATGTGTCCCAGCAATTCTACTCCTAGGTTTACACCGAGAAGAATTGAAAACAGGTGTTCAAACTGCACAAATGTTCATAGCACCATTATTCAGAATAACCAAAAGATGGAAACAACCCAAATGTCCATCACCTGATGCATGAATAAACAAAAGGTGATATTTCCATACATTAGAATAGTAGTCATAAAAAGGAATCATGTACTGGTACTTGTTACAAAATGGATGAACCTTGAAACAAAAGTCACAATACACCACATATTATATAATTCCATTTGTCTGAAATGTCCAGAATAGGTAAATCCATAGGGATTGAAAGAATCTCTAGGTGGTTACCTAGTCTGGAGGTGGGGAGGGGCAGGGAGGAATGGAGGTACACTGGGTAGGATTTGGTGGGGAGAGGTTGGGGGAAATAGGGAATGATTGCTAATGGAAAGGGGGTTTCTTTTTAAAATGATAAACATTTTAAAAAATGGATTGTGGTGATTGTTGTGCAAGTCTGAACATACTAAAAGCTAATTTATCCTAAAATTTAATTTGTACATTTTAAGTGGTAAATTTTATGGTATATGAACTGTATTTCAATAAAGTTGTTATATATATTTTTAAAAGCACACTCCTTGAAAAATCTGATGGTCAGCATTAAAAAAGAGAATGTTTTCTGATTCCTTCTTACACCTGCAAGTTACAGGTACTGATGAGACTCCTAGATCAGTAGTTCTCAAACTTGAGCATGTGTCAGGATCACCTGGAGTGCTTATTAAAACATAAATGCTGGCCCCGCCCCCAGAGTTTCTGATTCACTAGGTCTGGGGTGGGGCCCAAGAATGTGCATTTCTAACACACTTTGAGAACCACTATTTTATCACATTAGGATTACATTTAACTTCTTTAGAAAGCCACATTTTTGTAACTTCCTGAGTAAAACAGTTCAGTATCTGACCCAGGTTTTGGTTGAGTTCAAACTTGCTCATTTAAAAATATCTTTATCCATTCATTGTCATTGGTTTTCTGAAGGTGCCAAAAAGGAAGGAGCTGCTGGATTCTTTAAAGGAATTGGAAAAGGGCTTGTGGGTGCCGTGGCTCGTCCAACTGGTGGAATCATAGATATGGCCAGTAGTACTTTCCAAGGCATTCAGAGGTAATTGAGTACATACTGTGTTCAAGGTATGTGTCTGTGTGCTAATTATTACAAGGAATACATAAATAGATTAGATTATTTGAGTGCTTCTAAGGATCTTAAAGTCTCATTGAAAGCTGTGGTAGCTTTAAACATAGACTGCCACCAGAAAGGAATATGAAAAGACATTTTTTGTGAACATGGTGAAACCCCGTCTCTACTGAAAATACAAAAATTAGCTGGGCGTGGTGGTGGGCGCCTGTAATCCTAGCTACTCGGGAGGCTGAGGCATGAGAATCGCTTGAACCCAGGAGGCAGAGGTTGCAGTGAGCTGAGCTGAGATCGTGCCACTGCACTCCAGCCTGGGCGACAGGGTGAGACTTTGTCTCAAAAAAAAAAAGAAAAGACAAGACATATTTTGTGGCTGAATTTCCCCTTTATTCAACAAATGTTTATTACCTACCATGTGCCAAGCACTGTGCTAGACACCAAGGATACAAAGAGTCGATGAGCTAGGCCCTGCTTTCATTATTTTGATATTTCTTTTTATTTTAGAAAAGGTTGGGGGACTTGGAGTCAGACAGACTTGGTTTTGATACTTTTGCGTTATTTGGGGAAAGTTATTTAAAATTACTGATTGTTTTTTGTGAAATATTTATATATTTAATCAACACACACATTATTTTGAAAGACTCTCACATAATTTCTTACACTTACTCGGATGCCTTATTCAGGGCAGCAGAATCAACTGAGGAGGTATCTAGTCTCCGTCCCCCTCGCCTGATCCACGAAGATGGCATCATTCGTCCATATGACAGACAGGAATCTGAGGGCTCGGACTTACTTGAGGTAAATTCTGTTCTTCATGGTCACGAGTGAAATGGAATTTTAATGATTTCTAGGCCCAGGATTTCATGGGTGGTTCTTAAAGTTCCTGATTCACGAACTTCTTTAAGTGTTATACATAGTTTGTAGAGTAGAATTTGATTATTTGTTTTTCATTTTAGCATGTGTTAAATGGAAAATACAGGTGTTTTTTTTTTCTACATAGGAGCAAAGCTTTTGTCGTGCGCAGAAAAGATAATGTTAACTCATAGGTTATGTCACTATTTCTGCAATAGCTCATTTAGTTAATACTGTTAATTTTGGTTTCCTGCTTTGTAGCTAATTATTGGAACTTCATTGCTTCATTTCTCCAAACCAAATTAATTTATTTGCACTGCTTTGTAAATCTAGATTTATTTCAGTAAATAGAACTAGATGAGAGAATAAAAGATTATATATAATTATGATCTTGTTAAACCTTGAAGAAAATTTAAGAGCTTTTTGACTTTTATTTTAGTTTTAACTTGATTATATTTCGATAATATATACATATATAAATTGCTATTCTCCCATGACAGGCTTTCCCCCAAAAGAAATTTATTAATATTTTTCTGCCTTGACTTTAAAATAAAATGCCTCTTAATTGTTCTTCCTTTGGTTTTTATTGTATATGATTACATTTTATCTATCTTTCTGCATGCTTCTAACTTTATTTTCTTTGTTTTTCTGCCTGCACAGCAAGAACTGGAAATACAGGAATAAATGTTTCCTAAACTACTACTTGATTTCATCCTTAAAAATCAAAACAAACTGTGGTATTAATTGACTGTGTCTGAATTCCATTGTCAATTTTAATGAAATTTTCTTTAAAACTCTCACCTCCATCTGAACTTTTCATAGTAGTGGCTTGACTACAAATAAAAACTTGTGGTATCCCTGGTAATACTGTACTGAAATAAGAGATTAGTATAAAATATTAAAGGATGCAGAGAATCAACTCTCTTCTCCATTTAATAGATGAAAGACTATATTGAGCTCAGAAACAGATATTGTTATTATCATTTCAAAAAGTTTATCTTATGGTGTTCATGTGCATTTCAGGTAAAATTGAAAAACAGGACCATTATTATGTCCAATTTAGTGAATATGTTTATGTTTGTGAGTCGTGATGATGGAATTACGTAGCTTTCTGTTTCACAAATGACTCTAAATTTACTTAAGTTACAGGGCTATTAACTGGAGCATCTGCTTTAATAATTGAATTGTCAGTTGCTCTGAGCCTGCCCTTAGACCTCAAATAATAGTTGGCACATGAATTTTGAGGATGTTTCCTCATCCCTCTTTTTCCTGTTTAACCCCTTGTTACTGTTGCTAAATAAATGATAGTCATTTTCTAATTATGTTATATACATTTTCAGCCTTTAGCATTTCTGCTTTTCAAATATTGAATCTCCTTGTTAGTTATACTTATTTCATAATTATTAGTTTTAATTAATGTAAATAGAAGTTGAATATGTAATTATGCAGATTGCTGTGTGGCACTTGAATACATAGATTTCTTTATTTTCAAAAACCAACCTTTTGCTTTTAAATCCTTAGAGAGGTTTTATTGTCTTAATGAGAGAAAAAATAATTATAAATCATTATTTTTGAAATTAGTACCCTGTTAGTTCTCAACATAAGTTATGTTTCAATTTCTTTCTTTGTAATAGATGATGGAAATGTTTAATTTAACAGTGTCTTATCTAGCAACTTTCATGTTTCACCTCAGAAACGAAGCCAAAGTATAAACAGATTTAGTGTGTTGTGTATGTGAAGAGAATGAAACTATTAACATATAATTGTTCAGTTGGATTATGTATTTTAAGGATTGCAGTTATCAAAATAATAAATTGAATGTTTTATGTTTAAAATAAGCACTTTAAAGAAGAAAGACTGACATCCAAAAACCAGCCTGTGCTAGAAATACAAAGGAAATTACTTCTGTCCTTAAGGGACCAAGTATAACAAAACATGTAAATGTTAAAAGTAGCTGACAAACCTTTCTTTTGCCTAAATTAGCGATGGCAAAAATGTCACCACATGCAGTTTTCTGGGAGAGTCAAGCACAAATAACTAATTCAAGATGCTGACTTAAATCATCTCCAATAGTTACCCTTCCTGAGATTCTAAAAGTAACAATTTTTAATTTTACTGGTTGTATTGCTATTTTAATGAGACTTACTTTTGAGAACTCCTGTAACTTAAGATTTTTTCTTGTTTTGTTTAGCTCTTTATTAATTTTTTCCTTGTGATATCTTTTTATAATTCTGTCAAAAAGCACAAAACTTTAAGAAACTTTTATTTTTCTAAATGTATAATCTTGTCTGATTTCTTAGTTTTAATTAAGATATCAGACAACTTTTAAAACTTTAATGCATTATTATAATTACTGGAAGAAATAGAATGATTATACACTAATGAGAGGACTTGGTAGTTTTTGCCGTGGATGTCAAGTGTGGGCATGGATAATTGAGATATTTAGGCTATTTCATTCTTTGCCCATCTTGCTGTGATCAGTCAGTTGGGTAAAAATATTTGTTGATTATTTAGTCTGTACTGGATACAAAAGAAGCCTTCTGTCCTTAAGGGACCAAGTATAACAAAACATGGAAATATTAAAGAACATTAGAGTATAAAATTATATCCTTTTAGCCCTTCGTAATATGGCCAAATTCTAAATAATTTATTTGGAGATCTTTTGATCCTCGTTTTCCTTTTTCTCCTAAGTAGTACTCTGTATTCTTCAATACGTAGCTTTGAGAGTTACTAAATCATATGTTTTCATGAGATGTACTATTCTACTTATCCTCTAATCTTCATATATATTTATACACACACACACATATATACACACATACATATATACACACACACACATATACACACACACACATACATATATATACACATACACACATATATACACACATACACACATATACATATATACACACATATACACACATATACACATGCATGTACACATATATACACACACGTATACATACATACACATATATACACATATACATACATATATACACATATATACACACCATACATATATACACATATACACACATATATACACACATACATATATATACACACACCATATATATATACACATATATAGAGATACATTATATGTATGTATGTATAGTCATTTAATACTCATTTTGGTTCACATACTTATGATCATACAACATTTAAAACCACATTTCTTGCTTTTTAGTTTTAGTTGTATTTTTCCATGTTCTTAGAAATGCGTCATTAACATTTTTAATTCTTGTATTACCATCTATTGAGGTAACATTACATTGTGTTTTTAACTCCTCTTAATACATGACATTAAATTTGTTTATTATTTTACTAACAGTAATAGTGCTGTAATAAACATCATTATACATTTTGGTTTTTTATATCTTGTTTGCTTTTTCATATTTCTGTAGAATTTACTTGAAAAAATTGAATTACTGGGTAAAGGGCTTTTGCAAAGTATTGTTAAATTCCTCAAGTTGCATTTTTGGGAAGGGGACGTGAATATTTTATCAACTAATTTGGTCTCCTGCTGCCATTAGTAACTGAATGTCTTAATCTGAATCTCAGAGTGCAGTGGGTTTTTAGTAGTGCTGAGAACAAGTTTTCTAAAGTGTATTGTGGTGATAAATTATATTTTAAAAGCTCTCAATGGCTTGAAGCACAATAGCCTAATAAGTAACGAAAATGCATACAAGATAGAAAGTGGGTAGTATTTCTTGTACTTGCATTTCACATCTAAATATTTTAACATATTTAAATTTCAAGCTGATGATAAATGCATTATATTATTAAATTCATTTCCCATTTTCTCTTTGAAAAAATTAAGGCATAAATGTTAAAAGATTTTAGCTAATTCGCACAAGTGAATTGTGAAACAAGTAAGTATTGCTGTGAAATCTGCAGTCCTCTCTGAGACTCATTCTGAAGATGAGATCCCAGTTCTTTGTGGATTCCTCTTCCTTATTCATGGCTTTTTGCAATTGTCAAGGAATGACTAGGTACCAAGCAACTTTAAAAAATGTATATTTAAGCATTGAAATAATACCAAGTGTGATTTCTCTGTGGTTATATTGATTATATTATCCTTTTAATAATATTGGCATTATATTCTTGGTCATAAAATGTTAAGGTCTTATTTATTCAGTATATTTATGTTCTGTATTTTCATATATATTACCTATTTTCAACCATGCATTATATATAATGTCAGTAATAGTATTTCATTAGCATTCATTATTAAAAAAATTTTGTTTTTAATATTTGACTAATTCAAGTCACAATACTGTTGAGATAGCTGAAAAGGAAAATAAATGTGTTTTAATGTACTACTACTTATACTTGTATTACTTTATGCTGATACTTGTTTTTAGAAATAAATTGTGCCAGCTATTTTGAAATCTTAGAAATTGTTCATATTAATTTTGTCGTATTTTCTTTTCTATAAGAAATATAATTTGATATATAAATATACTTCTCCATGCATGTTTAACCTATGAGATCAAATGTTCGAAGCATTAAACATTAATTATCTTGGAATTTTATTATGTGTATAATATCTATTAATAACTGTATGTAAACCAGTGGTTCTTAATCTTTGAAGAGATCACAGACCCACCCCCATGATTAAAAAAAAAAAAAAGAACTGACAAAAAATATGAACTGTGTTCTGAAAAAAGTTTTAGAACCACATTTTCAAAATTTTCTATTTTATGTTAGGTAGTTCAGAGACCCACCCCAGCGTCCTACCAATGACCCCTATTTCAAAGCCCCTGTAATGTTAATGTAGTTATTTTATATTAGCATATGTTTCTTAATTAAAATGTGTGATAATTCCTGGTAGATATTTTAATATTTCTAAGTTACTACAGAACAAAATATATTTTGCCAGAAGACCACTTGGTAAGCATTTAATACATGGTTTTCTTTTAAGGCTGCAGTGGAAGTTAACTTACAAACGTGCTGTGAATATTTTTCTAGCTTCATGTACCAGTATGTAGAATTGTGCTTTTATTTTTAATAAATGTTTTCCTAACACTATTATTATAATTAGATAATATACAGTATTGTAAATACTACTGAAATGCATATACTTCCCAAATCTAGAGCCTGGTTTCCTTTTCAGAATCATATCAAAAAGTTGGAAGGAGAGACTTACCGATACCACTGTGCTATTCCTGGAAGCAAGAAGACAATCCTTATGGTTACAAATAGGTACTGACTTAAAGTGACATTTTTCCAAATACTACTTAGCTGCATAGGTCACAAGAATTTTGAAGGCTAAAATGGTAGAAGATTTGGAGAATTGTACTTGAAATTCTCCAAAGTGAATGGCAAAATGTTCATTTTCATAGAATCTCAGCAATACAGATCTAAATACGTCCTTTGAGATTTTCTGTTCCAACCTCCTCATCTTAAAGATGCTGAAACTGAGACTCAGTGTGGCTTAGGGACTTACCCAAGTTACACAACTACTGAGAGAATCTAGAACAGACTTTATACCTGTAATAGTGATACCCTTATTCTTGAATTACAAGTCCAGTTATGGAGGATTAATTCATGAATCACTTTTCTTACTAAGTTTTATTTTGAGTGATTAGCATACCACTTTTAAAGGATGGCATTACTTCTATATGTTTATCTCAGCTTTTCCTAAGCATTTGGTTGTGGTAGATAATTTTTCTAATTACAAGAACTTAGACTAAACTACGAAGCTTATTTTCCTGGGATTTATCGTAGATAGTAAACTTATCCCAAAATGACAATTATAGATTAATAATTTTCAGAACTTTGTTAGGGATGAGCTTTATAAGAGTAAGGCAAAGTTCTTACAGTAGGCAAAATGTGCATTAGATTCCTCATGACTGCATTTAAATTTATTTGAATGGGAAGAAAGGAAAGCTGAATGACAGGATAAGAGGTTAACCAGTCATGTAAGAATCCTCATGTAAGAGAGGATTCTCCAGTCATGCGATTTGCTCATTAGTTAAGAGGTAAAAATATTCACAAAACAATCTAAAAAGCAGATTTTATGACTTTGACAAGTAATCACTTATTTTTTATGTCCATAATTTTGTTGTCTTCAGTAGATTAAGCCAAAACAATGTTTATTTGTTCTTAGATATTGTATTTAGCTGTTGCAATGTGTTAATTCATTTTAAAATTATATCGCTTTTATATAATTCAGTACTAGGCAATGAGAATCAATTTGGGTTTTTTTTGGTAATATGTATTACTTTAGTACTTATTTGATTTAAGCCATTCTATGGGAGTATTACTGTATACATTATATATTTGATTTTTCTTCAAGTACATTGAAAAATAATCATCATTTAAAATCTAGTTACTGATGGAGTTGTTTAGGAGGTAATTAGTAAAATATACCTGACCAGTAAATACTATGAGTTGGTTTCCTTGCTAACCTTACTTAGTACTCTTTTCTTTTCTCTTTTCTCTTCTCTTGTTTTCTTTCTTCTCCTCTCCTCTCCTTGTCTTTTCTTTTTCCTTTTCTTTCTCCCCCCCCCTTTTTTTTTTTTTTTTTGAGACAGGGTTTCACTCTGTCACCCAGGCTGGAGTCCAGTGGTGCGATCTCAGCTCACTGCAACCTCCACCTCCTGGGTTCAAATGATTCTTGTGCCTCAGCCTCCCCATTAGCTGGGATTACAGGCATGCACCACTATGCCCGGCTAATTTTTGTATTTTTATTAGAGACAGGGTTTTGTTATGTTGGCCAGGCTAGTCTTGAACTCCTGGCCTCAAGTGATCCGCCCACCTTGGCCTCCCAAAGTGCCAGGATTACAGGCATGAGCAACAGCACCTGGCCTTAGTAGACTCAGTTCTAACAAGAATTTATTTGACTGAGGTAGTTATTATGGTAATCAGTTAGACCTTTAATGATTACATTAAAACACTAGCATTTCTTCCAAATTTAGTATTCTTAAAAATAACATTTTCTTTTTTAAAGATATGGCCAGGCTAGACTCAAACTCCTGGACTCAGGTGATCCTCCAGCCTCAGCCTGCTGAGTAGCCTGGACTATAGACATGCATGCATCGCCACATCCAAAATAATTTTTATTGCTAAAGTTATGGCTATTCATTGTAGATAACATAGATCAGGAGTCAACAAACTTTCTTTAAAGGGACAGATAGTAAAATTTAGGGTTTAAGGGCCATACTGTGTTTCTCAACCTTTTATTTTTGCCCTCATAGTAAGAAAACAGCTATGAACAATATGTACAAGAATGACATAGCTGTGTTCCAGTAAAATTTTATATATTAAAACAGGTCTTGGGCTGGATTTGACTTGAAGAGCACAGTTTGGTCACCCCAGTATTGACAATAAGGAGATGAAAATAGGCTGGGTGTGGTGGCTCAAGCCTGTAATCCCAGTACTTTGAGAGGCTGAGGCAGGCAGATCACTTGAGGTCGGGAGTTCAAGACCAGCCTGGTCAACCTGGTGAAACCTCATCAGTACTAAAATGCAAAAAATTAGCTGGACTTGGTGGCGCATGCCTGTAATCCCAGCTATCTGGGAGGCTGACGCAGGAGAATCACTTAAACCTGGGAGGCGAACGTTGTAGTGAACCAAGGTTGCACCACGGCACTCCAGCCTGGGCACCAGAGCAAGACTCTGTCTCAAAAAAAAAAAAGAAAGAAAATGAAAATAACTAACCATACATACATTCTGGTTTGCCTAGGACACAGTAGGTTTGCTTGCACGTTTTGTCCCTATGAAATTATCAATAGCTATTCCTTTCATTCTTAAAAACATCCTGGTTTGAATAACAGATTATATGATAACCCCTAAAAATATCCTTTACAAGCAATCTCAGCACCCAGAGATAACCACATTAGCTGGCACATTTTATGAAAACTATGTACAAAAAAATGCATTATTACATTTTAGTCTTGTCAGTTTTTCATTTTCAATATAATGTGATCATCTTTCCAAAGCATTAAATATTCTTTGACAACGTGATTTTTAATGACTGCATAATTTTGTATTTGTGGATATACTATAATTTATTCAAATACTCTCTTGTTATTGGACATTTTTCCCTAATATCTTATTGTTATATATTTGTAACTAAATATTTTTTCTATTATTTTATTAGAATAAAATTTTAAAAGTGGGATTGCTAATTTAAAAGTTGTGAAGATTTTTGAGTTCCTTTCTGTATATCGCCAAGTCATTTTTCAGAAAGGTTGTATCAGTTTTTTACATACCACCCAACAATATATGAAAGTGTTCTTTCTCCTGTGTTTTGCTGAGACTAGGTTTTATCATTTAAACTTATTTTTTGCTAGCTTGATGGGTAGAAAATAATTTTTTGTTTTAATTAGCATTTCTTTGATTACTGTTGAGCATGAACCTTTTAATATATCATCATCTGTTTATATTTGCTAATTTGTGAATTGTTCATATTCTTTGCTCATTTTTCATTGGTATGTTAGTCTTTTTCTTACTGAATTTAAAGAACATTTTGCAAATTAATGATATTAGCCCTTTTTGTCAAATGTATTATTGACATGTTAATGATTACTAATTGAGTTTCTCAGTATATAGCTTTTTTTAATTTTGAAATTCACCCAAAACTTAGTCCCTTAATGTTTTTTTTTCTAATGAGTTTTTAAAAACAAAACACAAGTTCTCATGACCTAAATTTCTTAGACTATAGCTTTGCTAGTTGGTCCTAACTCTGCTGTAGTTTATTTTAGTAATCTTTATTGAGAAATTGATTATTGAGCAGATTAAAAAAAAATCAACATATGACAAATACAGGGACACAGAGATAAAGTTACATCTCTGTCCCTTCCCTATTTTAATGGGTGGGGGACTACAAATTATCAGTGACATCACAGTATGATAGGTGCTAAGAAAAACGATGGACAGTCTCTGAGGACATATGGAAAACGGTTGGTACAGTAAGATGGGGACCACAGTATCATGGGAAAAGTGTCAGGGAGGCTTTTATAGATGAGGGAGTGCTTGAGCTGAGTCTTGAGTATGTAGCTCTTGCATAGGTAAACTAGAGGCAAGCGGAGGCATACAACACTATGGTACTTTGACCAGTAAGATCAGTGTGGAATGGCTGGATGTAGGGTGTTAGTGTTGGGAGATGAGTCATAGGTAGCAGCTCATAAGATTTTAAGGGTTTAGGTTGTATCATTAATGTGATGGAGAATCACTGGTTTTTGCTTAAGGTCTAGTCTGTTATTTTATTTTTTTGAAACAAGTTCTCATTTTCATTGCCCAGTCTGGAGTGCAGTGGCTCGATCGTGGTTCACTGCATTCTTGACTTCTCTGGGCTCAGGTGATTCTCCCACCTCAGCCTCTCACATACTTGGTACCACAGGCATGCACCAGCTAATTCTTTTGTATTTTTGGTAGAGATGGAGTCTCACTATGTTGCCCAGGCTGGTCTTGAACTCTAGGCTCAAGCAGTCCTCCTGCCTTGGTCTCCCAAAGTGCTGGGATTACAGGCATGAGCCATCACACCTGGCTGTCCGTTGTTTTTTTGTTTGATATCACTTGTAGCTTCTCACACAGAATAGTACACACGTGAGTAATCTCTCTTTTTTTCTATCCCACAGAAGGTTTGTAAACAAGTAATATGATGAGGCTTGTAGTTTTAAAAGATCCTTGGCGGTTTGGATGTTATACTGGAAGAGAATCAGTCCGGAGGCAAGGAGACCAATTAGAGACTGTATAAGTTTTCTTTTGCTGCACAACAAATTACCACAGAATCCACTTCAAAGCTCATTTGCTATTGTTGGCAGAATTCTAAGATCCCTGTTTCTTTGACCTCTGTCAGCCAGCAGGCTGCTCTTAGCTCCTAGAAACTACCCTTATTCCGACCCAGCAAGGATGCTTTGAATCTCTGACTTCTTGGTGTCTTACCCAGGTTTAGAGTCCATGAACTTAGGTCAGGCCCACCTACATAAACAATTTTGGCTTAAAGTCACCTGTGCCTTATAACAAAACCTAATCTTGGAAGTGAAATCCATTATATTCAAAATCCAGGGGACTGTACAGAGATATATACCAGGGTTGGGGAATCTTGGGGACTGTCTTAGAATTCTGTCCACCATAAAGACCGTGGCAGCTATCATAGTAGGAAGTGGGGAGGACCTAAAGAATAAGGATTTGACTTACGAGACAAGTCTTGGTGACTGAGTGGATGTAGAGGAGAAGGGAATACATGATAGGGAGGGAGGGAGGAGGGAGGGAGAAGGGAGGGAGGATAGATAGATAGATAGATAGATAGATAGATAGATAGATAGATGGAGTCTGGATAAAAATCTGGAGTTGAGATCTTTCTGAGAGACCATTCTGAGAGAGTGTGTGAGTGGAAGACCAAGATTTGAACCCAGGCAAACATGGTGCAAGAGGAAGAAAATGAAGGAGACATTCTAGGTGGTAGGAAAACAGTGGTATTATTGGGATGGTAAAGAGAAGAGTTTAAAGATATTTGGAATAGTGAATTGTGTTTGGCACGAGGATTTGTAACAGCCATCCTTAGCTCTATCAGCAGATTATCAACTGGGGCCAGGAGTGTGGGCGGTGGAGACTGTTTGGAAACATATGGTGGTGTTGGAGATTGCCACAGTGATTGCAGGACGCTACTGCCACTTACTAGGCTGGAGCTAGGGATGTTCAACTTTGTCCAGTGCACAAGAGTATGCCATACAAGTCCACAATTTAATAGCACCTCTGCTGAGAAATATAATGCCAGGGATCTATTTCAGTTCTCCACCCTCCATTGGTCACCATGTTCATTCATGTTTACCTTCTAAACATCTCGTATCTAGCCCTTTCTTCTCCCTTTTCAGAGCCACTGCCATACTTAAGGCTTTCATTGTCTCCTGATTGAACTATTGCCGTAACTTCTTACCTTGATTGTCTATTGCCACTCTGTTTACCACCAGAACCATGAATCTAAAATAATAAATATTATCATGTTGTTTCCTCTTCATTAAAAATGAAACAACATTATCATGTCATTTCCTGTTTCATTAAAAGTGAAAAATGTTTTAAAAGGAAAAAAGTAGCCCTTCAAGGTCTGGTGCTAAGCTCATTTTCGCACCACTTCACCATGGTATCTGTCTGGTATTCCAGCTGCAGACCCCCACATTCCTCACCATGGTATCTGTCTGGTATTCCAGCTGCAGACCCCCACATTCCTCACCATGGTATCTGTCTGGTATTCCAGCTGCAGACCCCCACATTCCTCACCATGGTATCTGTCTGGTATTCCAGCTGCAGACCCCCACATTCCTCACCATGGTATCTGTCTGGTATTCCAGCTGCAGACCCCCACATTCCTCAAACAAGTCTTTCGTTTTTTGTACTCCTTTGCATGTCAGTGTGTTTCCTCCTTTTGTCTGGACTGTCATTTCCCTTACCCACATAGAGAACTCCTTCCTTTCAAGAATCAACTCCTATGTCACCTACTTTACCAATACGATCTGTTCCTCTCTCTCTCTTGCTCCAAAAGACTAATCTGCACGCTCTGTTACAGCCCTTGTCTAATTGTGCTGTGGCATTTATTTACATGTTTGTTTCTCCTCTAGCCAGTGAGCACCTCTCAAGCAGAATTATCTTCCTTGTTTCTCTGGCACCCTAAATATTTGTTGAATTAATAGTCCTTCTCTTCTTTTGTAATTTTGCTTTCTGTAATAGAAGCTTAATTTTAAGTATAGTTGTATCAGTAATCAAAATGAATCACACACTGAGAAATCAATGTGAATGCCCTTTAAGGGTTCTGTAATTTTTTTTATTGCCATTGAATAAAATAAGATATTCTGTGATAAAGTATATTCGCATTAAAGTGTTCAAATCTGATCTTTATTAGTAGGCCTCAAGTGAATCTTTGCTGACATTTAAGGTTTATGACATTTCCTTCACGTTCATTCTTGACTGGAAGGCATAAATGGCTGACAGTAAAAAGCAATTAATAATTTTCCAAGTAAAACATTTTCAGGGGCTTCTGCCTTTATTGCTCCCCAGATGAGAATACAGCCTGTTTCTTATGTGTTCCAAAGATGATTTCCCTATCAGCTTTTTTGGTCAGTTAACCAAAAAAAAAAAAAAAAAAGAAAGAAAAAGAAAAAAAAAGTTACACTTTTCTGAATTCTGCAAGATTGACAGAAGGGGAATATTTGAAAGTCTACTTTGTTACTTGGTAGGTGTCGTATTTGCTCTTTATTTGACAGTTACCTAGACTTTAAAAAAAAATGAAGCAGGTTTTTTTTTTTTAAATGCCAGTTTGTATTATTTTCTAGGCAAGTGCTACCTCTGCCATCCAGCAGGGTGAAATATTGGCGAGAATAAACTGTCTTCATCATTATTGTTTTCTTTTGCAAAATAGGCGAGTGTTGTGTATAAAAGAAGTTGAAATCCTGGGCCTTATGTGTGTAGACTGGCAATGTCCATTTGAAGATTTTGTATTTCCTCCTAGTGTCAGTGAAAATGTGCTAAAAATTTCAGTTAAGGTAAGAAAACATGTCATACCTTTAGAGCTAAGAATTCATTGCTTTCAGACTGTTTTGCAGTTAACTGCACAAAATGTTTGAAGGATTAGTGTTGTTATTACTACTATATGCTGAGACATAAAGAAAGATGTAATCAATTTATTTGTATAACTGTACTTTATTTTCTGGCAGTCTTGATTGCATAGAGTGAAATATCAGTCTGCCCACCCAAATAATTAAGATTCTGATATGCTGATATTTCCTTTTTCATAGAATTAAGCATTAGTAAATAGGAGAGTTTTTTTTTTAACTTCATATGGACACCCATGTTGCTATAATCTTAGATATTTCTGGAAAGATTCTCTCTTTTTAGGTTTTTAGAAGATTATTAAGTGATTTGATAAAAATAAATGTATCCAAAATTCCCATGTTTGTAATATTTGGCATTTATGGAATGCTAATATAATTTAAGTGTGTAATAATACTTTTATGTCTTTTCTCCCATCATTTTGTAAGGAAGAACTTTTATTTTAATTACATAGTAATTTGTAAAAGTGATACTCCATCTTTTGCGTAGTTCTTAGACTCAAGTACTTAACTTTCTTTGAAATATGTTTGTTACATTATATATATTATAAATTTGTTTTCATGCCTTTAAAAAAACTATTGTTATTCTAAATATGGTAATTTCTTTAGTGTATTTGTTTTCCCTAAACAATAATGTTATTTCTATTAGTGAAACTATCTACAAAACGTTTACTGTGAAATTTAGTAGCCAGAAGAACATTTACTGTGAAATTTAATAGCTATAGATGTGAGTACTGGTACCTTTTAATTTATGTTTACTTATCTTTTCATGGAAATTTACAAATAAAAGGAAATACCATGTTACCCTGCCATTTTGTATTTCAGCATTACTGCATTGTAGAGTGCCAAAATTTAACGAATGTCTTGGTGTATGAAATACAGTTTTCAAACTAGGAAAGACTATGTCACTGTGCATATATTTTACAGTTTCCTCAGTTATCACTTTTTCTTTCACATCAATGGTGAGAATTGACTCAATGTATTTTACATTATACAGAAATTTTATGTATCAGCCAAAAAAATGAGGGAAGTGTTTTTTTGATTTGTCAGATGTGATGAGTTACCAAGTGGTGTTTCTGTAGGCTATTTATCATAGCCTGCAGAAAGCCATTATTTTATACAGATAGATGTATGTTCATCCAATTTTATAAATTCTAACAACTCATATATGGAAATACTGTCCTTGTTCTAAGATGATTTATTTCATGTCTTACTTGAATATGTGTATTTGGTTAGTCTACTTGTTTTAAAATAGAGTTGACGTTTAAGTATACAATTAAAAGTTAGGATTTTTTTTTTTTCCTCAGAATAATTTCTTTTCTGTCATTGTTTCTTTTGAAACAGGAACAGGGTCTGTTCCACAAAAAAGACAGTGCCAGTCAAGGCTGTGTTCGAAAAGTTTACCTGAAGGACACCACCACAGCAGAGGTAAACAATTTAAAGAGCACACCTCCATTTTTTTTTTTTTTTAGCTGAAATACCTTTTTAAAAGCCTCTTATAATGAATGCCATTATTTCTCCCAAAGCTCTCCCAATTATAACTATGGATGGATATATAAACTTAATATACTGTGGACTCAGTCGGGTGCAAGGGTCTTATTTTTATTTGACATATCTGGACTCTATCCTTGGTCCTTAGCTATTGGTCCTGTTTGGAGAGCTTCAGCCCTTGCTTTCATACCTTTCCCTTCAATTAAATGAGCCTATACTTGTCTTTACAAATCATAATAAGTATTTTACTTTACAGAGAGCACGCAATGCCATTGAGGATGCACAGTCAACGAGACAGCAGCAAAAATTGATGAAGCAGTCATCAGTGAGACTTCTCAGACCCCAAATGCCATCCTAATCACAGATCCCAGGCGCTACAACAGGGGAAAAAAACAATCACTGGTCTTGTCTATAAATCACTCTGCTTTATCTTGCTAAAGACAATTTTTCAAGCAATCCTTTAGTTTTATTTTTCTAGAATAACTAGTGTTGGGTTTTCTAGTTTTTTCACCTTTTGGTTTTTACTCTAATTTTGTAACCATGTATATGTTAGCAGGTCCAATTCTATGCCACCACCCAAATGGGTCAGACCCTTGAAGAAACATCACTTCAAACTCAGAATGAAATTTTCATTAATATTAAAATTGTGAAGCAAAGGTCAGTAGGCTTATATTTAATTAAAGCCTTACTGAAGAATAAGAAAGGAGCTTAGGATGACTAGTGTTCTTTGAAAGGTTTTTTTATTTTTGTTTTTTTTTTGAGACCGAGTCTTGCTCTGTCACCCAGGCTGGAGTGGTGCGATCTTGGCTCACTGCAGTCTCTGCCTTCTATGTTCAAGCAGTTCTCCTGCCTCAGCCTCCTGAGTAGCTAGGATTACAGGTGCACGCTACCACGCCCGGGTAATTTTTTTTGTATTTTTAGTAGAGATGGGTTTCACCATGTTGGTCAGTCTGGTGTCGAACTCCTGACCTTGTGATCCGCCTGCCTCGGCCTCCCAAAGTGCTGGAATTACAGGCATGAGCCACCACAGCTGGCTAAAAGGCTTTAGGCCATGGACAAATGTTGGACCCTGACATTTTGTGTAAGAGTGATTTGTTCAGTAATTGAACTGAGTTAACAGTTTTTTGTAAGCCAGGTAATTGAATGAAGAAAAGCCACTAAAGGGAGAAATGACATGTTTCCTATTTTCTTTTCATGCAAACACTGTTTTTCCCCCGAGTAAAGCGTATTTTACTTTGGTGCTTACTTTTCCTCCTTGCACTCTAATAAAAAATGTGGACAATCAAACCTCAAAATATCTACACTCTGCCCTCTGTAATGTAGCGTTTATAAAAATTTGGAAGCTATTTACATGCTCTTTCAAGATGAGCTTATATGACACAATTATTTGCTGATACATGAAAATATTGCACCCTAAGTTTCTCAAGACTCTGAAATATGTAAAATTCAGTATTTTTATATTCCCAGAAATTGTTTCTTACAGGTTGAAAGACTTAAGGGCATCACAAATTAACATTTACTCCTAATGCACACCTAGAATGTACTTTAAATACTTATTAAGAAGAATGAAAATTCTTTGGTTGTTTTATATATAAATAAGGCCTATATAATGACACTGTGTTCCTTGAGGGAGCAGGCCCTGTGAGAATCAATTCAGTACAGTATTTTTTTTGTCCTTTCTCCATCCTTGATCAGAGATAAACTATTAAAACTTTAAAAAACACTCAAAAATATTTAAGGTTTTTGGTTGAACCTTTAGATTTGCTCATAATGTTTAACATAACAACATTTATTTCAAATTACTGAATTCATGAAGATGTGGACGCACTTGGTTTGCTCTATTTTTGTTTATGTATGGTAGTGGTTCTGTCATCATCATTCATGTTTTTTAAGGCCTGGTCATAAAACTTTAAATTTTACTGGTGTTACTTGATGTATATTCTAAAAAGAGAATGCAGTAACTAATGCCCTAAATGTTTGATCTCTGTTTGTCATTACTTTTTCAAAATTATTTTTTTTCTGTAAAGTATAATATATAAAACTTTTTGCTTAAATTGAATTTCTATATTAGTGGTTAATTGCAGTTTGTTAAAGGGATCATTATCAGCAATTTCATAGCAAGTGTTCTAGTATTTTGTGTTTTTAAAACAGAATTAGGAATTTGAGATATCTGATTATATTTTTCATATGAATCACAGCTGTTGACAATGTCCTATATATTTAAGAAATTATATCATACTGATACTATTTGTAACATTTTTATTTGATTTAATCTCCAGGGACAGAAATAATTCATTGGTAAAGTGTAATAATGTGTTTTTTTAAAATGCTTTGAGAGTCAATTACTTGCATATGAGAGAAATAAAACATTTGGCACATTGTTTACAGGTGTGAAAACTTTGTGGTTTTTGTGTTATTCAAGTAACATTTGCTTTATTTTTTTGTCTTTCCCTTTTCCTTTTCCAATCCAATAATAGTGAGAAGTTATATTAATAGTTATGGAGGACTTTACCAGATACTAGTCAGATAAGCTTTTTCTCAGGGGTACTGAGCCCCTTTATCACACTGGAGATCTGTGGCACAGACCTCCAATACTGGGGGATTACAGAGAATGCGGTTGACCTAGGGGCCCAGCTGCACTTTGGAATCCATTGTGGTATTTGCATTGAGTCCATGCCTTCCGTAGTTTCTCTCAGCAACTGGCTGAGTATGGCAATTATATTAAGACACACTTAGTCTAGAAATTCTAGGAGACACAGAACTCCTCTGACAGCTGACTCTGGCTTGAAGACTCCAGTGGCCTTGCAGAGCCTTTCTGAGACTGCATAGCAGTCTGGGATGGTCTACCATACTGCTCTCTTTCTCTTCTCCTCCCTCTTGCACATGGGGCTCAGACTACAAGTTTGGAAGGCTCACCCAGTGCTGGATTATCCAGTAGGAAGAATAAGTTTATGCTGAGGGCTGTAGCAAAGCAGGGGCATTAAAAAAAGAGAAAAAACAAAAGCAAACAAAAAAATGTACCTAAGCTTTGTAAGAAAAATTCCATACAGGGTGGACTTCCTTCTATGTGTTTTCTGATTTAGTATTGTTTTTGTTTTGAATTATGCAGGAAGGAGGACACTACCATCTTTTTGGTGCTTTGGGTTTCTAAGTATGTTGATCTGGTGCTGCCTGGATATCTATTTTTAACAAAGTTCCTTGTGTGTTTCTAATGTATAGCCAGGACTAAAAATTAATGCTCTGGACTTAAAATGATCAAATTCTTAAAGGGCTCTACAGATCTCAATGCCAGTTAATATTAAGTTGCAATTATTGCCAGAGCTAGAAGAATCATCTTTTCATTGGGGAGAAAAACCAAAAATTCTTAGAGGATAGAAGATTGCTCATAATGGGGTCATTTGTCTTCTGGGGACAAGCCCTTGTGGTTGAGAATCACTGCCAGAATGACCATGAGTACTGACGAAAGTGGGTTCTGTGCCATGTGTGTCGGCTCTAAGAAGAAGCCTAATGTAAATGACGAGTTAATGGGTGCAGCACACCAACATGGCACATGTATACATATGTAACAAACCTGCGCGTTATGCACATGTACCCTAGAACTTGAAGTATAATAATCATAATAATAAAAAGAAGACAGGATATGGAGATGTAATCTCTCAGGAGGTTTTTTTTTTTTTTTTTAATCAGACTCACTGGAGGAGAGGGAGCATGTTTCTCTTGGTAATTGTGCCACTAGTGGGAAAATTGAGGCTTACTCTTGAAGTCATGCTTGAAAGTATCTTCAGTTATAAGTACGTATCATTCAAACAGTCAACTGTGGGTCTCTTTGAGGTGAAAAAGTCTTCAGAAAGACTTCTGTTTTGTTTTTACAAACCACAGGCCCATAGTTCCTTATTCAAAATTCAAAAATTCAAAAAGCTCGAAAAACCAAAAGATTTTGCAAAAATTTGAAACAAAGACATTTGGCAGCAAAATCTGAACTGAACTGACATGAGACTATTCATGGTCTTTTCTTCTATTTGGTGTAAATAATTTGGCTGGAGCAAAAGTACTTTATTTGGTTATGGGGTACTGCTGCAGATTTCTCTGGAGGCATACAAGCTGTATGTGCTATATGAACCATATTGTCTTTCTTTTTTCTTTTCTTTTTTTTTTTTTTCTTAGAGACGTCTCACTGTTGCCCAGGCTGGAGTGGCGCAATCTCGGCTCGCTGCAACCTCTGCCTCCCAGGTTCAAGCGATTCTCCTGCCTCAGCCTCCTGTGTAGCTGGGACTATAGGCACACACCACCATGCCTGGCTCATTTTTGTATTTTTAGTAGAGACAGGGTTTCACCACGTTGGCCAGGCTAGTCTCGAATTCCTGACCTCGTAATCTGCCCACCTCAGCCTCCCAAAGTGCTGGGATGACAGGCGTGAGCCACCACACCCAGCCCATATTCCCTTCTTAAATGTGAAGTCCTGTATTCTGAAACACATCTAGCCCAAGGGTTTTAGGTAAGAGATTGTGGAGCTGTATACCTTCAAAATTCTCAGTTTATTAAATTTGCTTCTTAAATTTTAGAAAAAATCATAGACTATAGGAGAAACTCTAAGAAACCACAGAATTTTCTTCCCTCTCAGACCATACCAATGTTTCATTTTACAGTTAGTGCTGGCAAATTGTTTTGATAAAGGTTTCAGAGTAATTGGTGTCAACATATATGTTGCCACATGATTGTGTATCACAAGGATGACACTTGAGAACAAGTATGAAACGTAAGCACATCAAAATGATTTTTATCCCTTTTGTACGTTATATATCTGCTGGATGAAAATATTTTAAACACTGACTTCTAGTGGGGAAAAAATTACAATAATAGTGAAATATATATACCAACATGGTCCTCAATCCACTAAGATTGTAACAACACTACAAAGAAGATTCAATTCTTTAGCATTCTTTTAAACTTGGAGAAAAATCAAGCAACTTCCCCAGAGATTAACTACAGTACCTCAAGTGGTTTAGATACCTTGATAAATGATTTTCACCAAGAGTAGATTTCAGTTCTTGATATTTGGATTTTGTTTGTTTTTGTAGAAAACATTTACCTTATGATACCAGTTTTTCTCTCCACCCACTTTTCTCTTTTGCCATCATTTTAAGTCTTCCTTCTCTATGCATCATTTTATCTTTTCTTCTTATGGCACCTCTTTAAATATTAAGTTATCTTTGTTAAGTGGATATTATACTATTGCTTGGCAAACTACAACCCACAGGCCAACTCATCTGTTCTTAACAAAGTTTTATTGGAACAACCACACCCATTTATTTGCATTGGTTATGGCTGGTTTTGCACTACAGTGGCAGAGTTGGGTAATTGTGACAAAGACAATATGGCCAGCAAAGCCTAAACAATTTACTATCAGACCCTTTACAGAAAAGTTCATTGATCCCTATGTTATATCATATAATTGATCTTACAGTGGGACAAACAGATATCAAATGACTTACCGAAGGCCCTGTGGTGAGATAGGAACTGAAATTAGGATCCAACATCACCAACATTCCTATCTCTACTTCTTCCTGAAAACAAGGACATTGGTGTTGAATGAATGTAGCCCCTGTTGGCCTCTTGGATTTCTTCTAGAACCTTATACCCTTAACCCCAAATTTTATCTGTTTTCTCCCTATCTATGTTTTACACCTAACTGTGATACGGCATTTCGCACAGTAACACCCAAATCTAAGCCAGCCCTTAGTTAAACATTTTTTTCCTGGAGAATTCTTACATATGGTATAATATTACTGTGACAGTTGACTAGCATATGTAGCTTTTGAGGTGTACAAATAAGGAAATAAAAACTTTGGACATGAGACATAAAACTTGCGTCTATTCTACAGCACAATCAGAACTAAAAATCAAATGCATGGGGTTCTACCATAAACCACTATAGAGTTCTACTGATATCAGGAGTAGAAAAACCATACCCAAGATACATACTTTGTCATAACTGGCTAGGGACTTGCCAAAGTAGAAATGATATTTTTGAGCATGGCACATGACATTATAGAGTAGTAATGTAACAAATGAGCAGGTGTTCAAAGATTGCAATTTGAATGGAAGCTATAAAATTTTAGCTTCACCAGAGGATGCTGCTGCAAATTAGTTAAGCAAGCACTTATTGATGGTTTAAATTAAGCAGCCACTCTGGAACAGGGCACATTTCCTTTCCCTGTGGAGTACTGTTAGAGAGGCTTAACCTACTTTGACACTTCTGATCAAATCTTCCCACTTCATTCCATTCACAGTGATTCATGCTCTCAAAAATAGTAAAAATGAAAAAAAAAAAAATAGGGCATGAACTAGAAGATTAACAGCGTTCTTAACTTTTTCAATAAAGATTTCTTGGACTATGCAGTCAGTTGAATAAGCTATCACTGTGTTACGGAGGTAGGTAGTAGGTTTTTTTTTTCTTTATGCCTAGATAAGGGAATCATACTCCTGAAAAATTCTGGAATAGTTGTAAGGTCTATAGGACATTTGAATATATCTGGAATTATTGGCAGCAGGAAACAACTGCTTTCTTGTGAAAAAGATTCCCATGGTTAAAACTGAGAGACCTGGAAAGCACTCCTTTTGAGTTGGCCTCAAATGAACAGAATAGAAATCTTGCATGACTATTATTACAATCCAGATGGTAAATGGATACCATTGAAAACACTGTTTAGTAAAGGCCATAAAGACTGAGTACCCATGACTTAGACTGGTGAATAAGAATATATTTCCCACACTACCTAAAATTAATGCTCAATTGCCATTGAATTATTTGCAACTCTTTCAGAAGCACTAATGATGCTTATTTTGTGTGGAATGGATTAATTTTAATCATTTTTTTGGCAAAAATAATTCACTTTGGGGCCTTGGTTTTAGTTGTACTTATTCATAGAAAAGTTAATGGTTGGGAGATCCTTACATTCAGCATAGATCTATTCTTGTGACTTCCATCCATTGAGCCCAAATCCTTAGGGCTATCGGAATAAGAATGGCTCTTTCTGTATATGGAAGCCCAGCTATGGGAGCACTTACCTAGCAGAATTGAAGGCTGGCCTCATGTCCTATCATTTATCCAGCAAGCATGTAAGTTTTATTTTCAAGTTCTCCTCTTATTCTACCTAAACCATCCCTAATGAGACAAAACTTCAAGTCATCCCATAATCCTGGTGGTACTCCTGAAACAAACAAGTTCAACCATGTTCCCCGTAGGATATGGTGCACTGACCTGCAGGAATGTACCAGGAATCGACTAAGGCAGATTAGTGCTTTGACAATTCCGTATTTTCTACTGCTTTTCTAACAATAGTAAGTATCCCAGCCTATTAAAGCAATTACTTATGTAAGGTAAC